ATCACACAACCTCTTCTATGTCACCCACGGACTACAACCCAACTCGTCGTCTACTTTCCACCTTCCACTCCACAATGTGTGTCGCATCCATCTCCATCTTCTTCGGAATATTTGTTAGGCAGTAGTCTTTCGGTTGGTTCGTTCACAAAGTTTCTTGCTGCGAATCCCTTCTGACAGGCTAACTGATCTTCACGATCGAGTCAGAGAAAGCAACTACTGACAACAGTTTGAAGCCTGCTGGAAATGCTTATGGTGACATACGAAGTCATATATAGAAGCACTTACTGACTTCGCGTCAGTCTTGAAAATCTGAATTTTGCTTGTTCTTCATGCTTAGTGCAGTAGATTTCCCAACTGGTTTCTGAGCGATCATGGTCTGTCTTGCCTTTCATTTCTTGGTTGACTTGGACAACCTCATCCGTGTCGTTGCCTGTAGTTGAAACGATACTGCCTAAGTTAGGTCAGGTTTTTAGCGCTTTTAATATAAGATATACTGGACTTATGTTTTTGACAAAATTCCTACCCAGATTCGTTATAGATTTAAGCGTAAAAGGAAAGATCTTTCTATAATAATAATTCTTTTGAATATGCAGAAATGCGTCTCACTAGTTTCAGTGAATGGATAGATATTCAGTTCCTTTTACACATACATCGTTTTGCGGTGTAAACACTGACACAATGAAAACAGATAACATAAACCCACTCTTCGATATACATATATATATATATATATATATATATATATATATATATATATATCGATATTGTTGATATGGTTCAAAATCGTTCCCAATGGCGCAGATGCAATCACTCTCTGGGATCTCCTATATCCAACAAACCATCCTGTTTCCCCAAGTTACTAGTCTTTCTCTCTCACATTTCTGAATATTATGGTTCTTCTGAATCTCTTTTTCCTCTCTCTTATTTGCATTTGTGTACTACATGGAGTGTGGTAACTTGAACTGCTACACTTCTGTGCTAAGTTCTGTATTGAAGCTCAGTCAGTCGAATTTCAGCAAACGATGTCAGTCAGATGTACAATGCTTTATCAGCACCTGACCTTATATAACACATCTAATAAACCTATATACTTATACTCATTAACAAAACACCTGCATAATACATTTCGACGCCCTTAGGAAATTAGTGACATTTCTCTGTAATCCAATCGTTCATTTGACAAAACAAGCTATTTTTCTTTTTTCTTTGTCTTATTACTTATACATCATATCCATATTCGGTACGAACTAAAATGTATCAATCAACTTTTGGAATCTATTTCAGTACAAAAGATTTGAACTGACTAGTGCAGCTTAAAGAATCTTATGATCTGTATAGCTACCACTGGACAACCTAAAAGACGATCATATGTAAGCCTACAAATGTCAATCTACCACAAACCACATTGGAATGGACAGCTGACAAACTATCACAGTGTTGTCCCAATGAGCCGAAAAGGAAATCTTATCGCCTCCCTTGAGATAAGAATCAACGAAACATGCGCTGAAGACGTATTGAATAGTGAGTTGGAATCCTTCAGGAAAACTCTAATCAAAAATGTATATCCAACCTCCTTCATTAATAAACACCTGAAGAGAAAGACCGATACTCCTCGAAACCTGGATGTACCGAAGAAACAACTAATTGTAAATCTGAAATTCCAGGGGATACAATTAGTGGTGTGGCGTGTGCTACTGATAAGATTTGTCAGTAGTATATACACAAATAGCAGGGAGATAGATTTGATGTCAGAGAAAGCAAATGATGCAGAGTTGCGGAGATACATGGGAGACGTGAAAGGAACACAAAGAAACACAATATGAAGGAAGACCAAAAGTAACACAACACGGAAAATCTGCGCAAGGGATTTGAAGATAAGGTGTACATAATTTGGCTGTATAGCGATACCAAATAAAGATTCCTTTATCAAGTCTCTCGTCTTCTACCGTTACAGTGGTTCTCCGAAGCCACCTGACGACAGCAGTTCTCAGAACGTTCTTTGCTGAATCTCTACGCCTCACCTCCTCCCTACATGCTCTTATTCACCGAAAATTCAAAGACAAGATGCCGTTGTTGGCAACTTCAATGTGTATTTACCAGTTCACCTGCTCCTGTGGAGCTAAATACATAGGCTGCACCGGCAGGACACTGTCTAGACGTGTCCATGAACACTTACCCGCATTGTTGTCAAAAGAACGTAGGACAGTCAACAGCTCAATTCTGCAGCATATTATTACTTCTGGTCATACAGCATCAGTAGAGACTTCTTTCAGTCAAATATATAAAGTACGACCAAGTCATTCGAAAGGATTTTGCCTACATCTAATTCATGCAGCTGAAGCCTTAGCAATCCTTAAGGAGAGATCTGAACTTTATGCTCATAAACGTTCCATCCAGCCTCTTTTACAACCATGACCTTAGTATTATTTCTTTTCTCTCTTCCTTCTTTGTTTTCCTGCATAACTGTAAAATAAGCTCTGTGTAGTCCGTTTCATGTTTTTGTTTCCTTGTCTCTAATCTACTATTTCCAAACGATTACTCATCAGTCGACGGGTTATCTGTCAGCCCTCTTGATTACGTAAGAGCATTCCTAATTTTTCAAGCATACTTATTACTCATGCACTTTGATTTGCCTTGTTACTAACTGACAATAACGTCTCACCTCTGTTCTTAATCCACATTGCATCTATCTATAAACCCTCTAAATAACTGTACAGCTTCCAAGTGAGGCTGCGAGAAGAGAGAGATCTTTGCTGACTCGTGTGTTCTTAACTTAAAAGACACTAGAAACTAAGTGATCAAATACATGAAGTAATTGAAAAGTTATACTTAAAATTCTACACAACAATATGCTATACTATTATAAGTTTCCAGACCGTAGGTGTTACGAACTTCCTGGAATAATTTGAGCGCCGAATCAGATTGATTCATTATAAATCTGCTGAAGAACCTGTGGCTTACACAGTGAAACGTTCAGAAAAATCTTATTTTGATTTTCTTAACACGCTGGGATTAATTTAAGTAATTTTTAATGAAGTATGCTATACTCATCATATTTTCCCCCGAAATACTAACGGTAGGATAATACAATAGTGAATTTTTGAGATTATTATTTCAATGGTTTACACATAATGATAAGCAAAATTACTGCCCGTGTTCACACCACTGTTGGAATTGTTTTGTTTTTTAATTGACACATTTATGATTTGTACTCATATATATATATATATATATATTGTTCATTCATTTTTGTGTATTCAGAATTATATTCTAGGTTGTTGACAGTTGTACTTAGTCACCCTTGTTACATGTATCGCCCATCTCACCAATAATAGCTGACATATTCATGGATTTTTGTGAAGAGAATGCATTTAAACCATTCAGGTCATCAATAAAATGTTGGTGGAGATATGTAGACGACAGGTTAGTAATAATGAGAAAAAAACGATGTTGAGAAATTCTTCCCGCACATAAACAGTCATGTCGACTCAATAAAATTCACTATGGAAATAGAGAATGAAATTGGGGAACTGCCTATGTTAGACTGCAAAATACAAAGAGTAACAGATGGTGCCATGGTTGACACTTAGTTAGGCGTTTATGTTCATTCACTCTTATTCTGACCCAGGTATTGAGTCGGATACTCGGAACAAGATATTTTGTAGATCACATTGTTTTTATCCATGATTTTTATGGGAACTTTCAGTTGACTTATCTTATTTTCAATTAGGTTCGTCGGTTTAAACGTGGTGCGAATCCCAATATTTTTGAGGTTTCTTCGAATTGCCTCTGATGTACCGTTTTTGTATGGTATTGTGACTGTTATTTTGCCTTCCTCCGTCTTGTCATTCTCCGGTTTTACCCTCTTTTTCCTTTTTTATATTATCTTTGATAAATTCTTTTGGGTAGTTGTTGTCGAGTAACATTTTGAATAGGACGTTTCTTTCTTTACGCTGGTCCTCCGGTGTTGTTGTAAGTCTACATATTTCTATCTGCGAGACTTTGTATTAACTGTCGTTTTACTATGAGTGGATGAGTCCAGTGATAATCAAGGAATCTTCCAGAGTGTGTAGTTTTTCTATATAGCGTCGTTTTTATGCTACCATCTGTTACTCTTTGTATTTTGCAATGTAACATAGGCAGTTCCCCAATTTCATTCTCTATTTCCATAGTGAATTTTATTGAGTCGACATGACTGTTTATGTGCGAGAAGAATTTCTCAACATCGTTTTTTTCTCATTATTACTAACCTGTCGTCTACATATCTCCACCAACATTTTATTGATGACCTGAATGGTTTAAATGCATTCTCTTCCCAAAAATACATGAATTTGTCAGCTATTATTGGTGAGATGGGCGATACATGTAACAAGGGTGACTCAGTACAACTGTCAACAACCTGGAATATAATTCTGAATACACAAAAATGAATGAACAATATATATATATATATATATATATATATATATATATATATATATATATATATATATATATATATATATATATATATATATATATATATGAGTACAAATCATAAATGTGTCAGTTAAAAAACAAAACAATTCCAACAGTGGTGTGAACACGGGCAGTAATTTTGCTCGAAATATTTTTTTTCCTTCACGTTCCCCAGTGGAACATAGGGCTTCAAGCTAGTGGCTTGAAGTTTCTGTAGCAGTGTTTATTTTTACAGGATGGGGTTGCTAGCCTCACACCTAACCTTCCTCTTTACCAACATTATTTCTGGCTTAGCGAGGTAAAGGAGTGAGTCGGCCGGGGATCCAACCCCGGACCATGTGCATGATCAGCGAGTGTCCTAACCGCTACGCCACCGACGCACAAATGGTGAAATAGTACGCACCCACCGGGATTCGAACCCAGGGCCTTCTGGTTACAAGGCGAGCTCGTAGACCATTGAGCCACTGGGACCCGCTCGAAATATTACCAATAACAAGAACTTATCATTGTGCGTAAACCATTGAATATAATTATACTTTATTTGATCTATTCCACAATGCTCAAACTTTTTATTGACATTAATTATGAGATAGGCTTTAAAGTGACAGGGTTGATAGAGAAGAAAATTGTTGTCACATAGATATGCATTAAATCGTACTTCAAATCGCTAGAGAGCTAGATTAGGGCGGTAAAAATCACACCCAGAAAACAACTGTTCCTTTATTTACAGTAAGTAAAACGCTTGGACAACCTTTTACAGGTATGAATTAACAGTCACAATAAGCAATGCATCCTTTAATAACTTTGTGATACAGAAGCAAGGATAACTAATATTACAAAAGCAAAGGTGGTTATCTACTCAAAAAATTACGGTTAAATATGAATTCAAAATAGCTATTATACAAGGGGGCTAAAGTAAATACCATAAACAAATCTAAACACAAATTATAGTAGTAGTAGTAGTAGTATGTGTTAGTGAGCAACTGCATGATCCTTTGAAGAGTGAGCATATTTAATGACATCTTCTGTAAATTCAGTTGTCGACGAATTTCCACCAACATCTGAGGTCAATGCCTTCTTCGCTTTAAGTACTTTAAGTACAGCTGACTCAATTTTATTGGCATAACTCTCCAGATTGATATGACGCAGTAGGTTGGAACTAGCTAGTAAAATAGCTGTTGGATTGGCTATATTCTTGCCAGATGCCCATGAGAATGAATGTCGAGTGCCTGGTTCAAAAACTGCAACCTAAACATATCAAAACACAAATAAACACAATAAGAATCAATGAAAACTTGTGGAGTGCAACGTTGTATACTGTGCTTTAAACACCAAGGTTACGAACATGAAATTAATTCTCGAGAAATAAAATTCTTCTTCCTTCTTACTGATAAACAATTCGTCCTATATTGGTATATATTAATTTGCCTACTAACCAATTATATATTTATTCCCCTTGATGAATTTAAATAAAGCAAGAACAACAGCGGTTTGTGCAGAATAATATGGTACCATCATTTATTTCGTCGGCTTAGGCTGTAAGCAGCTGATGAGAAGCCGACGAAATAAATGATGGTACCATATTATTCTGCACAAACCGCTGTTGTTCTTGCTTTATTTAAATAACCAATTATAGACATAAAAATAAATTGTCCATACATCAAGATGACCAAGTTTCCATATCATAATGATGATAGGAATGAGCGAAACTATTCACAGGAACGATAGACGAATGTGAGTATGTTTCGAATGCAACGGATTTATAATTTCTCAGTTTGAATGTGGTCTGGACAAGACGATTCACAGCAGAGACAGAGAGAACACTGAGGACAAAAAACAACACTGAAAAGACTACCACTACTGAAAACAACTTTACAAATCAATATTCAGAAAGAGAGTATAACAAGTCATTGAATCACCTGGTGACCATACGATACAGGATATCTAAGGAATTGAGTCAACTAACAATACTTAAGCACATGCTATTTTCTCGCATGAATTTTCCAAGTCTGTACGCCTGTATAAATTGCCAGACTCACAAAAACATCTTCGAGAGGTTGCGATGTCTCAAACTGAGTATACGAAAAACCTTATTTCTAAATTGAAGGTAGAAGCTTGTGATTTTAATCATATTATGAATTAAATGAACTTAGTCTTTAGAATCAAGTTTGTCAAGTTCATTCCAGAGGCTTAGACTAAAACAACCATAAAATTTGACAAAACTTTGTCGAAAACTCTGGTTGAAGAAAAATCATATGAAGGTATTCCGGAGAATCCCCAGAAGTTCGTAGCAAACTTGTCAAGTCATAAGCTGAGTCACATAGAAAAAGAAATGCTTTCACTAGGAATCCAATAACATATTTGACGTCGAAACTCAGTTTCAAAGTTTGTTTCACTAACTGTTTGAACTAAAACTAATGGATAACGAAAAACAAGGTTGGTTTAAATCTCGACTTGTTGATATTGCTAATCACCAAATCCCCAATCTGCAGTTTCTTTTTTCGAAATATCACCAAAAATAGGATTAAGAAGCCTAACTCACAATGAATCTATTGTTATTCTCCAACCTGACAAAGGATCAAGTGTTGTGATAATGGATAAAAATAATTAATTGCAAAATATCAAATTAATTTTGAATGATGCATCAATGATTCGAATTGATTATTCGAAGAAAGATTTGACTGAATCAACGGAGAGACGAATCGCCAAGAAACTAAGAGAACTTTTGAAGAAATTGATGGACAACAGCACATATAATGAACTGAAAAGCCTAGAGGAACCAAATTATTTTGCTTATACTGTCTACCAAAGGTGCATAAATCCAACTTCGCCACAAGACCAATATTATCCATGGTTAATTCACCGTATCATGAAGTAACTTGGTAGCTAGCAGAACTATTGGAACCAATACGTTCCAAGTTAGCAATCCACACCTTGAAAGACACTTCAGTTCGCGAGGCTACTAGGGAATTTAAACATCTCGAACAAATTCAGGATGTCGTTTGATGTATCTTCACTGTTTTACAAAGATCCCATCGAAAAAACAATAGAAATTATATGTCAATATGCTACCCTTACTCCTCTGCCAAGGAACGAACTCAAACAGCTTCTACTAATATATTTACTAGGGATACACAGCTTCACTCCAACAACAATATTCTGTACCACCATGTAGTTCCTACGGGAAGTTTGCTGGGTCCGATTCCGACGTTAAGAAATGTTTTACAACTGTTTACACACACACACACATACACACTCTGTTTAGAGTGTTTAACAAAGGTAGGGCAATATTTGTAAGTCCGAGGTCAAATTTTGATCACAGCTCATAAAATTTTGTTTATTATACTTGTTGAGTGACTCATGATTGGACAAAGTTTTTAAAAACAAGTGATGCTCCTTTTACATATAAACCTCTGTTATGTTAATTTCGATTAATTTCCCTGAAGAAGTTCGGACCACATTGCCGAACAGAAACGGTGGAATTAATCATTTCAATATCGCTGAGACTTTACAAATATAATTTTTTTACAAATGTCATTGTTTGCTTGTCTAAATAACAGTTAGCTAAAAGAAATACTATCAAGGGTAGTTATATGTTTTAGTTAAGGCATATGTGCTGATTATTTTCTACGATATTATGCTTTACAAACTTTTCAGATATAAGTCAGCACAATATGTTCCAATATTCAGAGTTGGAAAAGGTTTATCAGCCAAATTGTTCATCTCAGGGTTCACTGTTGTTTTTTTATTTCGCAATAACTAGAAGTAGAAAGGAATACTATTCATACTTTTTTAATCGATTCTCACACACCTTAAAAAGCGCCAAGGTTGCTATATTCTAATGCCACCAAAGGAAGAAGAGACTAACTTGAAATCGCATAAACTCTCAAACTATAAGCGGCAAAACATTAAAATCTTTGGTGTTTACTCTTAACTATCTAAAACTGTTTGAAATCAAGAATAAACGAACAGGTCTAAAGACCTGGGGAGGAAACTAACCTCATGACTGTAGCATACACCAGGTACAACACCAGCACCGCCAACTAGGCCAGCAGCAAGATTATCAACTATATTACCATACAGATTAGGCATAACCATAACGTCAAACTGTTGAGGATTACTCACTAGCTGCATACAACAATTGTCTATAATCATGGAATTAAACTGAATATGTGGATACATTCTAGCTATATTCTGACAAGTTTCAAGGAATAATCCATCGCTTAATTTCCTGTAGGAGAAAAACCGGAAATTTGCAGCAAATGAAATCAATAACACAAAAGTATCAATTTTAAGAAATTACAACTATAAATTATGAACTTGGGTAAACAAACCTAGTTTCAGATCTTCTAATGGGAATCCCCCATATGAGCAATTACTTATCAACGACTTGTCTATCATTAACTATTTAAGTTAATATACAATATACAAGACTATAAGCTGTCTTGATTTGACTTGTTTAATATTGGTTGGCACTCGATTTTTGGTTATGCATTTAGTCCTATTTTGACACTGATCAGCTGGGTTTTTTTACACTAAGACCAGAACCTAAAACACCGTTTTTTTTAATATCTCAATGCATTGTTTACCAGGTCAGTGAGCTACAACAGCCACCTTTTGAGTAGAAGGCTCACGAGTACTTATGATTTCCTATTGCTGATTGACTGAATCAAGTCGACTGGCCTCTTTTCAGACATCTACTCAATGAATGTATACCTCGATATTATCCTAAATTTTTTTTCTTTTTGATACTACATATCTGCGCTGGTAGTTAGTAGAACAAATAAATATTAGCTGGATAATTTGGTTTACTGTTAAATTATTCAGCTTTGTAGATTGATGCTTGTGAAATGAGCCTGAACTTGTAACGCAGTGATAGTAACAAAGTGTTTCAGTGACTGGTATCAATACAGCCAGATTCCCATACCCACACACTTATTCAGCTTTATCTTATATAAGCATTAGTGTTATTAACTAGGATGACCACGAAGAGTTTTACACATATAGATAATCTAGATTAGCTTCTGAATCAACGTTACCCTGAAAACATTCTGAATTGCCAAATGATTAGTGAAAAGTGAGAGGACTAGGCATCATAGTTCCACTGTTGTGTAATAAACCATTTTAGTAGAACACGACTTTATAAAACGAAGCGATAACTGGTAGAGAATGTCAAACATATCAAGCAATAGTTAGCAACACTGTTGGTGAATAAAACTCGGATGTCATATACGTAAAAGTGCTTTTAAACCCCCCAAATAATGAGCGGAACAGTCGTCGAGTTTTTAGATCAGTTTGATTTGGCTAGCTAACATGACTGGTTGATGTGAGTGCTGTCCAACTACTCACCAATGAATCAGTAGTAAATAGCATCTTTTTTCCTTCACGTTCCCCAGTGGAACATAGGGCTTCAAGCTAGTGGCTTGAAGTTTCCGTAGCAGTGTTTATTTTACAGGATGGGGTTGCTGGCCTCATGCCCTACCTTTCCTCTTCACCAGCATTATTTCTGGCTTAGCGAGGTAAAGGAGTGCGTCAGCCAGGGATCAAACCCTGGACCATGTGCATGGTCGGCGAGCGTCCTAACCGCTATCCCACCGACGCACACCCAGTATTAATGATCTATGAAACCATCTGCTATCTTACTACCTAAATATAAAGCGATTGGAAAAGGGTCAAGTTTAAAAAAATGTATATACAGGGAAAAATAAGACAAAATGAAACATGTTCGATATGCAAATAAAACTTACATAATGTTAGCTTTGTGAACAACAGTCACTTTTCTACGTTTATTGCGAACAGCATAATCAAATGCGAATTTCGCAATTCGTTCAGAATTTTGCCGTGTTATAATTTTCAATGATTCAACCACTCCCTTAACAGACTCATGTTCAAGCGATGAATACTCCCCTTCTATCTGTTCTCGTATTATAACGAAATCAAGATTGTGATGACGGCTTGGAATCCCATTTAACGTGCGAATATGAACAACATTGGCATAGAGATCCAAAGCTCGTCTATAATAAGAATCCAAAAGTAAATTAATTACTTTGAAAGAATATACTATTGAGATAGGAATTTCAGCAACTACCCAACGTCCCCTTGTATTACAAGAACTACCATGTAATTTTTAGTGTTCAAAATGTCCATAGAGGTGTAATACACCGGCTTAGATACTTAACTTTAAATTCGAAGGTCGTATATTTGATCCCCATTTGACCCACCTGACTAACCGAACTTTGTATATTCACTTAATATCATAAATCGTTCAAGCGAGTTTCATTCTCGAACTGGTGAGAGCAAGAGAAAGCCTATGAGTAAAACAGTTCTTTTGAAGAGATAATCAAAAATATGATCACTAAGATTACACTAAAAACGTTTCCTACATGTACTTCATACAGTGAAGATTAGGCAAGCACTTAAAGGGACTCCATATTTAAAAGACAGGACCCCTGACGCAAGAAGTGCGAGGTTCTCCAATGTTGTAATAACACTAATGGAATGTAACTCACTTATGCTCAGTAGTTTTGTTGGTGTCTAGCTTGTATCATATATAGATTATTATTATCGAGGATAAAGATAACCGATGCCCCTTCCAGTGATTTGACTTGATTTGTCAACTCTTCTGACATTTTGACCTACACCATTAATGAGCTCCTGATTATAAAGAGAATGTCAAATAAGTGTAAACAAGTCACAGTCCTCCAACTGGAAGTTATATGACGCAGAGAGCATATGACTACATAATATAATTCTCAACAATCCCGTGTATTTTAGTGTTCTTAACAATTGATCATTCTATTGAGGCCGACAATATTGCTTGGTAAACAGTAGAAAGTCAAGGAGGTAGGGTGTGTACCTAGTGTGTATGTACCTAAAGCTGCAACATGCCTCCAAGATAATCGTTTACTTAAAATACATCTTTAAGGAAAAAATACAAACAAATAAAATATTCCCATCGTAAAAATAATTCAACATACCTCATCCTCAAGTTAAGTGCACTAATTCCCTGAGTTTCAATTGGTGTACGAACAACTCCTTTTAAACTGACTTTATTTTTAGCGATAGAATGAACAACATTATTGAGAGCACTATCCGGATCTGAGTCAGAAAAGCTGATAGAGGCTCAAGAACGATACTGCACTGTCTTACCTTAAATTAACTTCTTCGAATTCTACAGGAACACTGAACTCTTTGAAAACAGATTTAACGCAAGCAACTAGTTCCGGCCAAACACCATCACCAGGTATAAGAGTAACAGTTTTCTTCTGAGTTGCATACGATGGAATATTCTAAATTACATGTGGAAGATAAAAGAAAAACCAATAATATCATGAAAATATCCTCTGAAGAATTTATAAATGGGTTTCACACAGAATGCGAGGAGAGAGAATTTTTACTCCATATTTACTTTGTTTTGACAACTGCTTTTAAGTGGCTTTTTAGATATAATCCCTTTACAAGTTCATCATTCTACATAATCTGCCGATTTCAGTTGTGTCTCTTTTCACGACGGGAGCTGATAACTAATAATTACAAATACCTGTCAAGGTAACCTATTTGATGCATACTACCTTGACAGTTCACCTTGTGATATAGTAGAAAATCGCATAGAGAACACGGAAAGTGTTACCTTTGGGTTTTCAGCGTAAATTAGATAGAACTAAGGTGTGACACCCCAGTACGGTCAGATATGCTACGGTTTTACACAAAAATGATTAAAAGTGATAACCTAAAAGACTGGAGATATCAGTTACAAAAAGTTCTAGTGGTAGGGATAAAGCTGTAATGAAACGAGAAACAACTCAGAAACTTACAAGCGTTACACACCAAGTGTTAATCGGTCCTCACTATAAGCGATTAAATAGATAAGACCTACTATTAGATACTTAACCGGATGACTGAGATACATCAACACATCCAATAACACTCTAATCAGAGCTTCCTGAAACTTGAGAGATATCATTTCCATTACATTTTGGGTAAAACCTGACGCCGAATTACATATTTTTCTCAAGGTAAAAATAAATAATAAGTTTGCTCTTGAATGAAAAGGGATGAAACTACGTGAATTAAATTTACACACCAGCTGAATAATAGTATCAAACTTATTTCTTTAATCAACGGCACATGGATGAAATACACATCACTAAAATTTTTCAGGATGAAAGGTGTTGAAAAAAAAACGAAAAATACAGGGAAACAATGTTAAATGATGAAAGCTGTGGGACAATAATAGTGGGTAATTACCTAATACAAAATAAGGCAAGATTTATATAGTAAATAATTGCCTGTGCGACTCGAATGTTATGTGTAGTTTTCTCTAAATGCATCTCAGCAATAGATTTGGGTGCACTGCAAACAATTCTGGTAAGACTTCAGATTCACTGGAGACGCTAGGCAGTAACCGAAATTTTGCACTTATTTAGATGATTTTAAGAGTCATGGGTTTATTTCTTAAGAATTCATGCATACTAAGCGGAATAGTGAGTAAACACGCATACGTACTCATCTAAACTTAAAAGTACCAGGCAAATTTAGGTTTCCGAAAAATCTGAGTGTAGGCACTGACAAATTCAGCAAAAAAAAAACGTCCCTAGCTCTGGTGTGCACCTTGATTTTTCCTGTGTATTCTATCTAAAATGTCAGCAATGTACTGAAAGTTTCGGTAGCTAGATTGATTTTCTAAAAGCACTTTTGACGCACTTATTTGGGTAATCTCCGCATTAATTTCAGCCACATCTAGTCAGTTGACAGATCAGCAAGTCTTGAGCATGTCATGGCACACGGCGAATGCAGCCCAAATGATGATTTTGGGTCAAAACTATGTGAGAAAAAACTTTTCATTAGAGTAATACAACGTAACATTTACCCCCATAAACTAAAAATTATCACCTAAACTACCCCACAAATTTCGCCGAAAGCCGGGAAATTATTTGGGAACTGACGTGTTTGGGTATGAGTTAGCTCATATGACCTACCCAAGTAAAGCATTTAGGAGCACATTGATGTCAAAGATCTAGGAAATGTATCAAAACACCCATGAATGCCTCGAATCAACGGAAATTTCCATAAGTTTTACCCAGTGCCCAATTATTGTTTAGTAGGGTAATATTAGCCCAACACAAGTGTTAGGTTATAAGCGAACAGGAATTCTGGTTCTACTCATTTATTACTAATTTCAAGAAATTGGGAGGGCATTTATCGTGGAAAGACCAACAAATTTATACTTACATTAAATAAGTTGATATTTACTGATTTATTCTGAGTGTATACACAAAATGTACATATTTACAAAAGTATATATCTGTACACATAGAACTACTTACCAAGTGGAAGTCTCGAGTAATTTTAACAATCGGCACTAGGCCTGTTTTCTTCCCCTGAAATATTTTTTAGTTAAAAAAAGACGGTTAGTACCAAAATAGCAGCAGCTAGATTCCGAATAGTCATTGCAAAACTACCAGTTCCAATCCATAACCTTGACCGGCAGAATCGATCAAACTCCAATAGCCTATGTATTCAGATTTCAGATTTATTGATTGAAGACAGAAGGTCTGAAGACCATTTCAATCCTGTTCCAATAAGTTTCTTGCCTAAGCTCTTCTTTAGTGAGTCAACTGAGGGAGTTGACCGGACTTCTTCTCGGAGTTGGCTCCAGGAGTTTGTGATTCACAGTGGTATATTTGACTTTTTACCCCTCCTGCTATGTCTTCTGACGTGTTTCTACTTGGTGAGAAGAAGTAGGGTAGGTAGATCAAGTCAGTAGTCATTGTCAGAATTTTTTAAATTATGAGATCTCACCAACGACCGTATGAAAGAGGAGAAGAGTTCCAAACGGTTTACCCTTTCATATTATGGCGAAATGACTGTGCCGAAATTCGGACGGGCTTCCTTCCTTTGAACTCTTTCTAGAGTAAACTGTTAACTGAGTGTGAGTCCCCCTTAAGACAAGAACTGGCTGTAAGGGTGCAATTTTCCAGTCTTAACCTCACTGGAGAGGTTTTTAAAGGATTGAATATATGAGTGGTGATTCTAATAAACTAAACTCTCTACATACTGTCCATAAAGATCTGAGGTGCCACAGTGCTTCAGGGTCTTGTGGTTTTTGGGTCAATATGATACCTTGATCCAAATCAGTCTGAACTGATAGGAATGTTTTTCTCTATAGTTTATATGAACCGGCCTTTTCACTTCTCTACGTTGATTGGGAGTGCACATTCTTCGGAACTGCCTAGTCTTCTAGCCGGTCTCAAGGCCGGGTAAAGAGGGAGGGTTAGGCAAGCGGCTCACAACCTCACCCAGAAAGTGAATCCCATAGTTACAGAAACTTCAAAGCACAAGAAAAGTATTAAATTTATGAAAAAACAACCTTATCTCTCACTGAAATCGGAGAGACGAAATGTTTAAGGCTAGTTATAGCCTTCGAGATGCTAGTCAGCTGGTATGTGTTCTTTTGACAAAAGCAAAATAAGGGCGGGGACGGGGAATGTTCGCTGGATGCTCGAAGCTGGGAGGGCGGGTTACCAGAGAAACAGGCAGATATGGCATCCAATATATCCAATATCGTTTTTACGAGCTAGTATAAACCAATTTGATTTCTTTGTGCTCGCCTCTTGATTGTGAGGTATAGGTTCCTGATCTTCGGTAAACTTCTGCGTAGCTCGTCCCACCACTCGACTGTCGTAGCTTTGGTTGACTCCAAAAGGAGTAGTGCAGGGATTAATTATATGTGGTCTGTAGTATGAGGTGTGTTAAGACTGTTACTACTGTGAATGGAGTTGATCCTTTCACCAGTTAGTCCTCCGGTATCGTCGTCAAAAGAAGAGATAATAATAATATATATAATTAGTGAAGTTATTCAGACTAACAGACAAGTGTTAGAAACCTGTAAAAGCACTTGGAATGGATATGGACTGCTCGAACTGTTAACTGGACGGGTAATGGTCTATTCCGGCCACCAATACGACAACCGTGGACACACTGAGGAAGAAGTAGCTTTCATGATGCCAACAACAGCCGTCAAAGCTCACATGATGTGGGGACGAATCTCTTCCAGGATTATGAAGTCGAGGTTCCCACCTAAAGGAAGGAGGGTTGCAATTATCTAATGCTGCCAACCCACAAACACATAGGAACAAGAGAAGGAGGATATTTATAGATAACTGCTAACAGTAATGGACGACATCCCAAATGCCAACGTCAAAACCGTAGTGGGCGATATGAATGCTATACTTGGAGCGGACAATACGGGAAGAGAACTCATCATGGGCCTAGAGGCTCTGAGTGAAATGAATGGGAACAGAAAACTCTTCGCAAACTTATGCACCCCCAGTGTATAGGTGATTGGAGACAGTGTGTACGAACACAAAGATACGCGGAAAGAGACGTGGATTTCATCTGAATGGTACACAAAAAACCAGGTAGACTTCATCCCAATGATGCCAATGAAGTGCAGACGCAGCCCATGGACATTAAGTCGAGATGGGTAACAGATGTGGGCTCAGAAGATTATCTAGTCCAAGGAACCTTCAAGGCTAATCTGAAATCCCTGAAAACAAAGGGAGACAGACCACAACCCGAGTTCAACATTCAGAAGCTGAGGGACAAAACTACAAGGGATGCCTTCGCTAGAGATATCAGAGCAAAGTCGGACACACTACGTGGCATCACTGAGGAAACCTGCGTGGAAGAACATGGGAACTCTCTGAGGGCGATATTGAAGAAACGTGTGCAACTGTTCTAGGAATAGAGGAGAGACAAGGCAATGAATGGCTCCCAAAGGATAATTGGAGGCTAATCGAGGAGAGGAGGATGGTGAAAGAGAAGATGACTCAATCAAAACATGGACAACAGGAGGAGAAACTGAGTTCAGTGCACATCGCACTGAATAAAGAAGTGAAGAAGCGTGCTAGAAAAGACAAAAGATACTTCTGCGACGCCCTGACAGGCACCTGAAGCAAAACAGGCCACAGGTAAAAGAGACCTCAGAATATCATATAAAGTAGCCAAGTTTCTCACCGTGAAAAGACCAACTCAGATCATGAAACCAATAACAGATGCCAAATAGAACATGATAATCAAGGAAAAGAAACAAATAAAACAATGGGCTGATCACTTTAAAGAGCTCTTGAATCGACCACCACCTGCAAATCACCCAGAAATACCACCAACGACACACATGGAACTGCCAGTGGACATCAATCCTCCAATGAAAACAGAAATCCTGAGTGCGACCAAACTACTACAGTGCGCGTAAGCACCGGGACCAGGCGGAATCCCCCCACACGGAAGCACTGAAATCAGACCCACAGATAGTGGTATATATATGCGGACGCCACTATTGCCAAGGTTTGCAAGGGAGGGAGGGTACCTACTGATTGGGAGGAAGGCTAATTTGTCATGCTACCAAAGAAAGGCCACTTATGCCTCTGAGAGAGCTGGCGCGAAATCATCCTCCTGTCTGCGCCAAGTGAAATGCTAAGTAGCGTTATGCTGCGGAGAATAAAAGATGCACTGAACGCAGAACTCCATTCAGGAAAGGTGAACCATCTGCTGATCAAATTGCAACTCTACGCATCATTATAGAACAGAACGCAGAATAGCAGTCAAAAGTTTACCTCAATTTCATTGACTTTGAAAAGGCTTTTGACAGCGTTGACCATGAAGTAACTGGGAAATTACTTCAATGTATGGTGTACCCCAAATCTTTATCAAACCCATTCATTATTTATGTAGCAGTGCTATATGTCAGTTGATCCAGGCGTTTGAAGTGTGTACAGGAGTAAGACAAGCTAGCTGCCTATTAGCACCTATGATATTTCTAATCGTGGTGGACTGGATTACGTGTCAAACTTTACCTGGGAGTGAGAAGACAGGAATAGTCTGGATCGTTGAGAAGACTCTAGAAGAGCTGGATTTGGCGCGTGGAGGAATTATGTTTAACGTCAAACAAAGTGGAAGGTTTGGGGGCGAAAAGCAACAAACTAACTGAATAAACAGCGAAGACAGGACTTTCGGAGAACATGGAGAAAATTGACGTGATGAAGTTACTCACGCCTCAACAAGAATAACCAGCACAAATCATTATCAACAGAAAATTGAAAGAGATTTCAGTGAACCAGTTAATTAGGTTCCTGGACATCTAGCTCGTTTCCGATCGGCTTCAAATAGGAATAGAGCCCACGATTGTTGTGTGTCCGCCAGTCCTACTAGACATGAGATTCACCAAACTGCCTACTGACCCTTCAGCCTAGTACACCTAACTCGGCACTAGAACAGGAATATAACACCTACAACTGATAGAAGGTGTGTCTGTTGAGGGTGGATTGAAGAGCACGGAGAAAGTTAGACACACCATAATCACAATAGTGCTCTTTGTCATTGAAAACCTAGATATATGCAGTCAGAGATAAACAAATAAACAGCTGGAGGAAAAATGCCTGAGATTCAATTTAGTAAGAGGACACCTATGACCTCTAAGGTCACCTCCTTTGCCAGTCGAGCAGAATAGATTCGACCACTGAAGTAACGGACGAAAAATCAAAACCCCAAATGGAAAGCAAGGTAGAGCTACATTACTCTGAAATAAGAATCAGAATGTTCCACATGCAGCATAAGGGGGAAATTCGCACTTTCGATGGTAATGTTAGAATGGTTCTTCAATATGGTTCAGATACTTCATGTCAGTTATGCTGGGCATTGAATGGAAGTTCAGTGAACTTGTTTATTCAGTTCAGTTTCCTGTTCGTTGAAGGCCCGAGCTCCTGTCGTAGATTAGATGTTTGCTCGTTGACAAAAGACCGGAGAGGTACGATCAGAAGTATTAATGTATACTATACTGACGTCATTTGTGGCCTTTTTCGGTGTATCGATAGTTACTAGCTGTGAATTATATTGTGAAGCTGCTGTGGTATTAACTTGCTATGTTGGCTTTTCCTTTTTTGATCAATCAATATCAGACTTGCCGTCCGTCTTTTAACATTGCTTGCATTGAAGTCAAGTTGCCTATTATATGCGTAAAATAGTATTCCGGGTTCCGAAGAATTTCCTTCTAGCTACAATAAATTTTCCTGAGACTGTTCTTGTCTCTTAGTTTGATACTGAAGTCATTTCGGACAACCTCAATACTGATAGTTAGACTGCCTTCTGGATTGGTCTAGCAAGCAGAATCTCTGGGAGCAAACCAGTCAACAAAACATACCGCACCGACGGTCACAAAGTAAATGGGAATATATAGGCCACAGGCTGAAGAAACTACTGAGTAACGCCACCGACAGGCCTGCTCTCGAATTTAACCCGAAGGATAGATGACCAATTGGATGTCAGTTGGGGACATGCGGGGGAGCACGAGAAAGAGATGGAAGCTTGTGTACAACCGTAAGGCAAGCTAAGGAGGACTGCAGAGATCAGGACGAAGTGTTGAAGCCCTACATTCCATTAGGAACTTGACTCAGGAGGATAATGTGTGAGAGAAAGTTTGGGTAACGGTATCTTTAAAGTCGGTTT